TTTTTTTTTTTTGGGGGGGGGGGGGAGGGGGGATATTCAGCCCCCGATTATGTTAACCCCCCCAATGTCGCCTCGTTGGTCTTGTCCAAGGTCACCGAGTCTTAATGGACAATACCGTCAAGTCCAGTTCACATGTCCTTGTTGGACACCGTAGATGGCGACCTGGTGTTTCGATGATGGAAGCGGCCAGCGGGAAGGGACTCGCGTTTATTCGCTCCCGTCTTCGGGTAACCGGAGCGTAGGATTAAGGACGCAACTGGTCGCGCATAATGAGCCGGCGTAGACTCCTCGGGTCCCCGGAATGTGATTAGCCAGCGTTAAAGATATCTTCCGCGTATGAGGAGCTGGCAAGGCTGTCTGACCTTAAGCGCGCATCTGGCAGAGTCGCGGCTCTGCATACAAATTGAGTTAGCGTCGTCACGGTAATAGAAGCCGAGAGGAACGTCGGGATAAGTGCGAGAGAGAGAGAGAGAGAGAAAGCTCGAGGAGAAACAGAAGGAAGGGAAATAAAAGAAGTTATGGAGGATCCAGAAGTACCCTCGGATAGTACTCATTGACGTTACCTGCTTTGCAATATGGATATACGCTCGAGTAGGTACTACGGGTGTACACGTATATTATATTAACTCGAAAAATTATCTGCTTGAGAAATAAAATTTTTCGGAGAAGATTTTTCAATTTCGGCACTCCGAGGAAGGGCGTGACTTTTTGTATCGTTATATCGTAATTTTTTCGTCGAAACTTATATCGTCGGATATACCAAATTTTTGGGAGAATAATTTTTTTTTTTTTTTTTTTTTTTTTTTTTTTTTTTTTTTTTTTTTTAATGAGAAATTTGGCATGTTCCAATTTCGTTATCCGTTTTTCTCTGTAGACTCCTTAGTGTATGGTATGGCAATGGCTGAGAATGAGAGCGTGTGTAGTTCAAGGCGCTTCCACAAGCAACTGCGCGATCGGTTCGTTGTATGAATTTTTTTGTTTCGTTTTTTATTTTTTCATCATTTTATTGCACTTCCTTAAGTTCTTACCCCTGCTCGGGTCGCTCGCGGAATTCCTGGCGCATTGGTACGTTCGGCCGTTTCCCCACGTATAAAATCGTTCCCGACGTCACACGCTTCTAGAACGTCTCCGAGTTATGAGAAACGGTGAAGAAAGCTATATACGCCTACGGGACCTATGAACGCCCCTTTATGTCTAGGTATCTCTCGTTACTCCCAAGATGCATCGCGACTCCGTTTCCCGTCTGGTTTCTTCCAGGTCAGCGGACCTTGAATGTCCCCCCTCCATCCTCGTTATCGATTAGCATACAAATGTCCGCGACCTCGCCCCCATTACGATTCATCGATCGATTCCGATCGCTCGATTAAAATCGATCGCGCCTATCGACCACCGACCAGCGGGAAAAAGTCCATCGTGGAATTCAACAATTTTTACATCGTTCCTCGTCGCCTTGACACACTGACTCTGCAATAGTCCCGAGACAGGCTTGCCATTGTGACGAGTATCCTGCGCCTTTTCAATGGACGCGACTGTTCACGAGGCACGCGGAAATATTTAACGCGAGCACCGATACGGGCTTGAACCCACGCGATCCGGCGATATACTTCGGACGTTTTACAGACCGGAGGCTTGGTACGTCGGAATTAACGAAGCGCGCCGAGGTCGTACGTGAAAGGTCTTTAAATATTTGTCGCGAAAAATCGCTCGTTGCAAACCCATCCTAAAGGCACAATCGACTTACGGGTCGACGTTATCGAACTATCGGTAGAACGATTTACTCGCCATTTTCTTATTCTCCGGACTGGCTGAGCGTAGGGAATTTTTTTTTTTTTTTTTCCCGTAACGTTTCTCGAACGATTTACGTGAAGGACGTCTCGCAGCTCCTCTGGCGGCGGCACTGAGAACCACTGATAACTTGGTAGCACCCGAGCAAAGGCCGCTGCCTTCATTTGAGTATTTGAGCATTTGAGCATTTGAGCCGCGCAAAGTTCTCGGGCGTCGCACGCGAGTAACGCGATATCCCTCGAGAGTTTCTGGCCGCACGAGTGTGTCCTGCCAACCTAACGGACTCCGAAAGGTACAAATAAAATTAGTGACTCCGGTACCAAGGGTAACTTCTACAGGGCGTCCCGCTTCGAATGAACGTTACCGCCGCGCCGTGGCACTGGCGCACGTAGAAACGCTCATCTTTGTCGCCACGTGTACGTAATCGCGCCTCGTACGCTCGTATGACAAGTATAAGTTACGCTACATGTAAACTCGCCTTGACTGCCAACCTTACGCTGGCGTATTCCTTTACACTGGTCTTGGCGCCGTATATCGTGCGATTGTTATCATCGAGGACTCGCGGGAGGATTTTTGAAATTTGAGATTTTTAATGTAACGTTAAAGATTTAAAAAAAATGGTGGATTATCAAAGAAAAATGTAAATTTGAGGTCGTGGCTGGCGATGAGGGGCGGCTGATGAATTTTGAGGTTATGGCGTTAATTTAATTTTGCGATTTAATTAAAGCTTTAATTGGACGGGCAGCAAGGGTGGCTGCATAGGGATTGGTGCGAAAGAGGATATTTTTTTAAAAGCCCTATAGACTTTTTTTTCATCCCATGCTCAAGGGACTATTAACGAATTCGATACACGTGGGAATGTACCCATGGATGTCTGATATAAATAATTAATTTGTCTACGTTACAGTAATTTTTTATTGCTCTCACCACGGTGACTACCTGTACGCGTTTGACTAGATTGTCGGGTATATTTTAAAAAAAAAAAAAAAAGAAATGAACGAATAGAAGGAAGATAATGAAAATAAGAAAAGAAAAAAAAGAAAAAGATAAGAAACGACAAAACTCGTTCGCGTCTAATTGATTACACACGAAAGTCAGGTAACCTATGGGCACTTTCACCGTCTTGTAAAATGCGGTTATTAATGACTCGTTGCCGCGTGCTAATTGGCAGCTGGCTTTATGACGTGACTTGTTAAAAAGAGACGCCAGAGTCAAATCAGAGAAGAAGCCCCGGACTGTAGGGAGACGTAAAGAAGAATGAAGAAGGAGGACAGAAGAAGAAGAAGAAGAGGAGGAGGAGGAGGCTGGAGGATCAGAGAGAATCGCTTCTTTCCCCCCTCTGACGTCGACACATTCATCAACTGTAATATCTCCCTGGATCTCTCAATGGAATCCTCCCCCCCCAATCCCCCCTTCGTCACCTGGTCCTCCGATCTGACTCCCCATTACATCCTCACCAGCTTCTTCTCCTTCGTCCCGTCCCGCGAGATGGTATCTCGTGGGTGAAGAAAAAAAATTATTGCACCAAAAAAGTATGAAATAGCGAGCGAAAGACATTAAAAAAGAATTTCCTGACTTTCGTCCGACCGCGGGTGGGTTTGTAATTTTTGAAAAAAAAAAAAAAAAAAAAAAAAAAAA